GGTTTGCAGCGCTATCAACAAAGAAAAGGGTGGCTGCTTTCAGGAATCTAAAATAAAGGCATATTTAGAGTTGTATTTTTTTCTTTGCAACATAATTCCATATATCATGCTTTATATACTTGATAGGAATATGTGTGACTGCACTAGAGGAAAAAAGGACCATGAACATTATGACAAATTGCAATTTCTCATGTTGTGTCCTTTTTGAGTTCTCGTGCTTGCTTCCTGTTAGAGTACAATTTAATGCAAAACACTGTAAAAAGAACTGTTTTGCCATTATCCAATAAAACATTTAGTTCTTTTAATAAAAATGTGTTTAGCATGGTTGCTTTTTGCATCATCTGTATCCTTTAGCTTCTGCGATTTAACTGTTACAGTCTCTAAATGGTTCACAATAAATTGGGTTCAGAAACGGAAGTTGTGAGTTAAAGATTTTGTAAACAATAAAACCCAGAAGCCAGTAAAGCACCGGTGCAAATGTCAGATGTCATGACTTATATTTCTCAATAGGTAATTCAGGCACTTAGTCTTACATAACACACATAAAGGTGTAAAAAACAGATTACCAAAAAGGAAAAATGGTCCAAATCAAAGTTCAAACTTGATACCAACATTTTAAAAATATTTTCCAACAAGTAAACATGCAAATGTGTCAATCAAACAGGGACTCTGTGATCCATGTCGTTTTTGTTAGCGGTTTGTTGTCTTTAAGATCAAACCAAAACAACTGTGCTTGTTTTGTCGACATACTGCCACAGACTAAGAGGCAGTACTTATTGTGACAAATGAACCAAAGTAAACAGGAAAAATTGATCTACTGTACTCAGAAGTAAACATCAGATGATTAAATAATATAATGTATTTTTATGTAAATTAGTAAGGTCAGGTGCGATCTTTCTGTGCTTCCCAACTACTTAAAAAATCTTTGTTCATTTGTCAGTGAATTGACAAAGAAAATAAGAAAAATAACGACCAACAAATTGTAAAAATCATAAACATTGTCATGTCAAGATCAAGTCTTTCACTGATCCACACAATCATTTGTCTTAATAAACAATCATTGTCACTGTGTCAGTTTACTCCATACCTCGCCATCATCTTTAATGTTTTGGAAAAAGGTGTTGTGTGTTTGCTGTATTTCCGTTCTGCATAAACACAAAGAGAACTGGGCCTAACAAAGCATAGGGATGAGTGTATGAGGACATGAAGGACAGGAAAATTTTTTGTGTAGATTCACTTACCAAAGTGATGTGTGTATACACACTGGTTGACATTAAACATGACCAGGTAACAGGTCTGTGTGATAACAAATTGTAAATCTCTGTACCTTTACCTATCAATATTTTGTAATAAATTGACATATGAATGAAATTTTACAATTGGTTTTTAATAAATTTGTCACCACTTTTGGCTGACTAGTGTAAATACTGCGGTTTGTAGGAATCATGTCTTAATTTATTTGCTGATCTTAACATTTGTCAATGTTTTGTGTATAATAGTTTTATTTTATTCGATAATAGTTTGTGGATGGTCACATGATTGGGGTTGTATTGAATGCTAATAGGCACCTGTTGGTAGGATGAATCTTTCAATGTTTTTTTTTCTTTAAAATATAAAGTTTGCACTTTGAAATACATTTTTCATTTCCCTTTTCAATAATAGAGATTTAGTGGTATTGTTTTTTGTTTTTATCTCAGTATCATTATTTTTGATTGATGTGTCACATGAATGGATAGGTTAAATCTCCATGTCAGTGACTTTAATTTGTTCCTGGGGGCCCTACAACTTTCCAATGGAATGTTTTAAATAGTGTCACAGGAAATACAGGAGTGATATCAATTTCAAAAATGTCATCTGAATATGAAGCTCATACCATCAGCTTTGTTTGACCCGAACACTGTATATGGGGCCTTGGTTGTCCAACTCAGTGATTAAAAAAATGATAATACAAATGATGAACTCTATACAAAAAACAAAGTGAGGGACCTGTCACTGCACCAAATCAGAGTGTTTTGAATAAGAACTTTCTTATATTTTCACCTTTGTCTCATCTAGAAGTAATAGAAACTAAGGGTGGTTTTTCTGGATTGTAAAAAGAAACCCGACAAACAGCTCTATTTCCTATGAAACATTTTGTAAGCTGAGCATCTGAAAATTCTTGTACATAACAAGATTTGTTTGTGCTGTACTTTAGAAAAAAATGTATTGCAATTGGAATGAATACATTTTGTTGCAGTATGCACTGTTTTGGGGTTTTGTCTTGTTTCATCCATTTCTTTAATTATTCCATCCTCTGGGATCAAATATATGATTTCATATACACATAAGCACCTAAGTGATGCATTGCAGTAGAATGAATTAAACATACTGACTTAACCAGATAACTGGTACACTCCTATTGATGCGTCTATTTTGAATACTACATTCTGAAAAAGTGTCTGCAACCATGTTGTGTGTCTCCCCTATACTGCTCTTTGTTTATACACGGGGGTGTCCTCCCATTGTTTAGCATATTATATATATATTGATAAATATAGATAAGTATCTTGAAGTGTACTGCGGCAGTTTCTTACCCCTTTCTCACTGATGGACTCATTGAAAGCGGACAAAAGTTTTTAATCTGAGACTTGAAAACAAAACATAACACTTCATAAGACTTGGAACTCTGAGACTGGAAGAGTGAAGGTAGGATGATTTGTCAAACTTTTAACCCTGAGTACAGTAATGAACAGTTGTCTGATCTTGACAGCTTCTTCATGGAGTTTTGTAAAAGAATGAGGATCACAAATCCCATCCAAGTGATCATTTTAGGGCTTTTTGATGCTCATTTTAAATCTTAATCTTTATAGAATAAACTAAATTTCCACTGAGAACAATACTGAGATGCTTCCCCTTCCTAAAATCGCAAATCTAAAGCGGAAGGATTTATTTATTTTGTTATTGATACACTGAGTAATAGCGAACTAAAGAAAGACTTCAAAGCCACCTCTGTCAAAATTAAGTATGTTTATGTTCTTTATAATCTAACTAAAACTGCATAAACATACAACGTTTTCCAAGTTACAACAAGCTATACCATTTGTAGTGGAGTGCACATTGAAAGGAAATGAAGTTAAAGCGAGTGGAGGTGGACTCAGTGGAACATATACAGGACTTCAGTTTCACTTTCACTGGGGTGATGTAAAAAATCCAGGCTCAGAGCACATGATTTATGAGCACAGATATCCAATGGAGGTACAATGTTTCTTCATTACTTGACATCTAAACTCCTTTTCTATATTTTGCTTTGCCTTATAAGTTGTTGGACGTTCTTCCAGATGCACATAGTCACTCAGAAGGATCATCTCACTGCCCCTCCAGAGCATCCAGATGGATATTCTGTACTTGGGTTTTTTTTATAAATGTCTGTATGCCCCAGACTTCACGCTGCTATTTTTAAATAGGCGACACTTATAAAACTGGTTTACATTGACGGCTTTTAAGTATTAACATAATTAGCAATCATACATAATGTGGAGTTGAAGTCCACAGGAGTCAGAG